TCATGATCCTCAACAACGACGCAATCTTCCTGTATGAGCACGAGTCGTCCAAGTCCCCCAAAGCTGTCACGGTACTCACGGAGTACAAGGCCGTCACGCGCTACTCACCCCGCTCCAAAGTTCACGACTGGTGCTTCTCCATTGTCCCTGGCAACGCGCGCCTCCGGCCCATCAAGTTCGCCTGCGCCAGCGACAAAGACCGGAGGACGTGGATGGCCGCCGTGAAGAAACTCCTGTACGTGGCCAACCGTATCTCCGAACCCGCCATCTCCTTTGAGGAGAGGTTCGCGAGTCTGGCGGTGAGGCACGGAGATGAGGAGTACTCCACCATCGACGCCGATGACAACGAGGAGTACACTCTCCTAGAGGAGCCCGTCTTCCAGGAGTTTGCCGGAGTCAGCCCAGCCGAGGGGGAAGACGATTGCTCCGATTCCGACATGTCGGACCAAGGGAAGGGCAGACTAAACAGAATCAGCGACATTTCCACGAATAGCCGGAACAGAAGCAGCGACATTTCCACCAGTAGCGGGAACAGAATCAGCGACATTTCCACAAGTAGCGGCAGTGGCAGTGGCTCCTTTCCAGCCAGTCGCAGTACCGGTATGTGGAGCTCCTATGGTGGTAACTGTGACGCAGGGAGCGCGCCACCGAAACCCACAACCGCAGCAACAACAACAACAAGTAAAAAGCCCTTTCAGAGAAGGCAGTCAGACCCTGTGCCGCTCCCACAAGCCCCGCCCTTGCCCTGTGGGAGGAAAGTTTCCGCCAGTTGCTCTGACTACGTCAACACGAGACCTCGCCTACGAGACGAGAACGACTATGAGATTTGTCAGGACGAGAGCGAGGCTTGCCTGCTGGACCAGTGCTCTATGCTGGGTCGGCCACACAGCCGGGAAGACTGTCTGTGCATGCTGAGAGAGGGTGAGCTGGGAACCTATCTTATCCGCGACTCGAGGAACGACGTGTTGAAAGTCCTCTCTCTGCAGGCCGGGGACGATGGCTTGAAGGAACTCAAAATATTTGAAATTGGCGGCAAATATTCATTGGACAAAAACAATAAATTTGAAAGTTTGGAGGAACTTTTGAAATTCTACACCATGATGATGCCCGTCCCCCGAACCAACGTGTTTCTGAAACAAGGCATTCATCACAGCCGTGGCGGGGAACTGGGGGACTAGATCTACTGTGGGCCGGACACATTGTTCTAGGGGACTAGATCTACTGTGGGCCGGACACTTTGTTCTAGGGGACTAGATCTACTGTGGGCCGGACACATTGTTCTAGGGGACTAGATCTACTGTGGGCCGGACACATTGTTCTAGGGGACTAG